CCAAGTACACCAGCAGCAAGTAAACTCACTTTGTGGGTTTCCCGCCAAAACAAACGGCTCCTTTAGGAGCCACCAAATGATACAAAAGTCAATGACCAATATTCCTTATCTGCACCACTGCTGCTTTTTTTTCTTCCTAATATATACTTTTACAGCTAGGCTGAAGCTCAAAACAAAATATGGCTTCCAGTCTCGATCGATGATTGTCGAAATTCTGTATTGCAGACATATTTAGAGGGTCACCTTGAATTGCCTTTTAATGCGGCTGGGAAGAAAATGGCTATTGCCGCTGTTGTTTTCAGGGTCCTAAACTCCTAATTCTCGATCTATTACACATTAGAACCCTGTCCACAGACGTATTTTTCGATTTTTTTTTCCTCCTAGCGGCTTGCGCGGAGAGCGGTCGCGAAGCCCCACCAGAGTGTGTTTTGGCTCGTTACTACTTTGTTTGCGATCTCCACGAATTCAAGGCGAAATAGAAGATAGATCGATTGGAAAACACGGAATTCCGGAGCTCAGACAGATTACCTGCTATTAGGCTATCATCACTAACAACTCGCAAAACACGCGATACACATTAACAAACCTGTAATAAACAAAACGTTACTGAGATCAAGAGAAACTCAAAATTTGAAACGGAAGACTGACCCTTGCAGGGCAAAAAGAAACAAACATGGAAACGGAAGCTACTGAAGTAAAGCATATAAGCGAGGTGGGAAAAAGGAGTAAGGCTGGGCCGGACAGGCAGAAAGCGGAAATTCAGGCAAAAATTCCAATCTAATGTTTTGATACACCGACCCATTTTGAGCGAAAACGGAAATTCGAAAAAAGAAATGGAAACAGAAAATGCGTAATATATATAGAAAGACTTTTACTCTACCCAAATATCCTGCGTACAAATGCTACCGTTAGTCAACAGAGTTGAGTACATCAAAGCAGTTCATACGACTGTTCTCCTAATAAACACTAGACAGTGATCAGGCGTTCTTTTTTTTTCTTTTTCACCGAGAAAAATAGAACAGCTGATCGCCGGTTACATGAAGATTGAAGTGTCAAGTTTCTAAACTGTTCGCTGAAACCTAGGGAAAAGGAAAGGAAAAGGCAAGGCAAGGGAAAAAGTCTTTACTGAAATTTATCGGCTTACTCTTCAAGACACCGTCTCGTCGATTTTCTTTTGTTTTCGTTGTCTGGAGCAGGTCCGCAGGCCCGGGTACCATTCAATATTGATTTTTAAAAATTTCTCAAGATTGATACATGCTGCTCTCTAACAAAGTAAGAGAAGACGCAGCCATTATAAACGTCAAGAGACCACGCCTCTAATTGCACATTCCTTCCTCAATTTGTTCGCATTCAGTTTCCTGTGCTTTAATGGTGCAGTTTCGGAAGCGGTCGCTGATTAGGAGTGTCCGGTCGGCAACGCACGATACGCGCGGGTCTTTCATCTTGTTAAAATAACCGCTTATATTACAGTTCTCGGAGGGTACTCCCTATACTGGCCTATACGGGGAGGCTTCGCCCGGAAGGGGTACCTTTTTCAGGCTTCAGGTATATAAAAGGGTAGGGATTCCACAAGTTGAGGTATATGAAAACGCAGTGAAGTCTGTCATCTAGTTATTTTAAAGGGCCTTTAATTAAAATATTTCAAACAAAAGCACCTCATATCCTCTTGGTGTGGCTGTATCATTTCATTTATTAGACACTACATGAAAATGACAAGAGCTCCTTTTTTGGTGATTTATTCATGATACGGACCAGTTATGAAAGGGGAACCTTCTTCTAAAAAAATGTATGGTTCAACCTCTATTAAACTGCCACCCTCGGGGAAATGGATAGTGGCCGCTTAAAAGGGGCTGACCGCTTAATAAAGGTGAAAACAATAGCAAAAACTTCATTGGGACTTTGATTACTGGCCGCCTAATAGGGGTGGCCGTTTAATAGATGGCCGCCTAATAGGGGTCCGACTGTATACGAAAGGGGTACATTTTCTGTCAAAAAAAGTAAACAAAAGGGTAAAGTCTGCTTCACACTAGCGACATAACGACAATAACGACATCGTCACGAACGACATAAAAACTGGACGTTATCGTAAAAAGGACGTTATGTTTCAGTAGTGTGAACATGTAGGCATAATGACATATTAGCAACATAACAGCATGAACATAACGACATAAAGATAAAACTGATCTTTTCCTTATGTCGTTATGCCGATGTCGTTATGTCGCTAGTGTGAACTAGGCTTAAGGGGTTGGACCTGGGGGCGGAACCTCCCCGTATAGAACTTTGTAGAAGACCCCCAGGGTTACATGTGCAAATAGTCAGAGAAGGCTAGGTCCTGCACATTTACGGGAATTCCAGTCAGTAGATCAGTTTAAAACTTTGTTCGGGAATAGCTTCGAGGACTCTCGGAGAGAACATCAAAGCCCCTTTGCCGGGAAAGTAAAAGCGTGGAATCGGGAGACTGCAGTAAATTCACCGACAAAGTAGAAACAATATGTAACACATTACAATCGAATATTGGGAACATCGCGCACATGATTTTTGAAAACTTGACAGAGAATGCAATAAATGTTCGGTCGCTGACCTTCCCTCCATCGCTACAGCGCGGGGCTATTCCCATATATGGGCTATATAGGTATGTGCCGTGGGATAGGGTATGGTTTTTGAACTTCTCACGACCTTTAATAGGGTGTTATTTTAGCTCCTGTTGGTCATGTGCTCCCGGTGTGATCCTCAGATAGGGTACCTAAATTGTATCTGCTAGAATTCCAGTGCGTAAATGCCCAGCTAAACGTAAAACAAATTCTATGCTTGACGCTTAACTCTCAATGTTACAGAAATGAAATAAAGTTAAACCTTTCACGCCAACTTCTTGTTTTTCCCTTGAATAGGGTGTCATTTTTCGGGTTGGGCTTTAAATAGGGTGTCCATCTTCATTTGCTTCATCCTTAAATATAAATAGGGTCTAAATTTATGGGAGTACTTCCTCCGGGCGCTACAGTACATTTTGCCGCCTAAACAGTGTGTATTTGGAACCTGAAATGTCCACAGACAACAACTGATCAATGTGGCTTCCTGCCTTCATCAGCTGAATATAACACAGACTGCTACCCTCCGCTCCTGGTGGGCGTTTTTTAATTGGTTTAACCACTGACGAAATATTCACAGAACATTGACGCAAACACGCCCGTGAAATCGTCTTTGAATAGCGCTTACTTACGAATGGCTCAGCTCACTCGTCGAGCTAGGCAAATGACAAGCCCTTTTTGTCGAAAACTTGGAACGTGATAAATTAAAAACGTTAAATCATTGTTCTATATATTTAACAGGGTGAACATTTCACAACAGGCATATCACAACCACGCATTTCTGTCGGGTTTTTGGGCGTTTATAATTGTGGCTTAGATAAAAATCAGTCTGTTATCTGTATGACTATGCCTTGTTAGCATGAACAGAGGAAAAGGTTTTGGAATATTTTAATCAGTCCAATCGGATATTGATCCAAGACAAGACAGCGGAAAAGGGATGTGTTTTACGTGATTTTCAGAAGTACCTTTATGAGCTCAGCTCGGCTGATTTAATTATAAGTGCTATAAACCTAAGTAAGTAAACTCATTTTAAATTGTTTAAAGATGAGAGATCAAAAGTTCAACCGAGAGATAAAAGTATGGTAGCTTTACGATAAGTTTAATTAGAATCCTGCAAAATGAAGATAACGGTTGTAAGATACGAATATTGGTACTTGGTTTTGTATCACGTTTCAACATACTTAAAATTTATGAGTATAGCGCTTGATATGACAATGGATATATTGTTCAGATCATGTGAAAAAAAAATGTTATTGATATCAGGTAATGAAAGTTAACTGTAATATCATGTTTTACGACCGACTGTGAAACCGTGCGCAATGGGTAGTAAATGCCGCATTTCTCGCCGTGCCATGAAGATAAATGGTTATCACACACACATCCTGATATCCGGGGAGTTCACCTGATATTAAGGGAGTTCCGTTGCGTTTTGGATTGTGTTCAGTGCTGCAATTTATCAAAAGGTTCCGTGATCTGTTTTCTTATTATTCAGAGTATGTTTACCTTGATGTTGTGTCTGAAACACTGGTTTGGGAATATTACGTCTCTCTCTGCATGCAACAGTGCTGATATTTGAGATGCATGCTGAGACATAACTTGTGTTGCGCACAGATGTTCTGGGAGTAGCTCTAGTTGTTGGTTGGAGGTGGGGAGGCTGTTTCTCGTTGTAAAGCGCCACCATGTATGGGCGTCCGCAATTAGTACAGTTAATGGACATAACAGCAAAACCCTTCTGTTATTGATGTAAGTGAGTCATTAAAGCAAATAGACAAGGGAATTCGGTTTAAAAAAGAGATGAATATCGACCTCCCGACAGTGAATCCACTAGTATGTCGCTTGCTCCCCCCC